TTGTTTTCTTATTTAACAGTTACTTTGTAAATATAACAGTGACAGATCCAGATGGACTCAACTCGACTAAAACAGTGAATATAAACATAATTAACATCAATGATGAAAGGCCTTACTTTACCACGTGAGTTAAAATTTTCTGTTGCACTCAAAATGTGGAAGTTTTCCCATGTTTACTGCTTTGGCACCAGTGGGAGGGTGTAACATAAGGGCAAATAAATACAACAACAAAACACTACTGAAAAAAGTGGTTTAATTTTGTTATGATTCCTGTTCTTTTACTGGAAAGCTTTGCCCTGGTTTCCCTCTCTTATTTATATCTTTAATATTCTTAACAGTTTAAAGTTTTCCAGGCTCTGTCTTCATGCTGAGAACATCCAAACAAGCTTGTTGTGCTTGTTAAGATTTAGAGAGGTTAAAGCTATGCAAAGGCCTTTGGACAAGTTCAGACAAGGAGATTAATTTCACCCTGTGTGAATACAATCATACAGAACTTACCCCTCGTGCAGGTGTGTGTTTCACCATGATGATGTTTATTCATGCAGAAATGTCTAGACATAAAAAGGTTTCCCTTTTGATCTGTCTTCCTCTTCTTCCCAGACACACTTGTAAACGATCCTGGTGAGATATGAAACATTGTTGTCTTTGTGTCATAAGAAGGAAATTGTGTCATAACACACAAGTCAGAAATAGCTTTTGAAGACTAATGGAGTTTTAGTTGGAATCAGGAATATTGTTGAAAATTTGGAAAAATGGGAAAGAACATGCCTGTGCCACCAGCAGGTTCTTTTGTGGTGGAAAGCACAAGGGATGGTTGTTTCTGAAGCAAGAGCTGGACAATTACTACAGTTGGTCTGACTCTATTGTTGGTTTATCTTTGTCACTTGCATGAGGCACTGATGGGATTTGAGATACTGATAGGATTCAAGACATTGTCTTTTTGCCTCCTGAGTCTGAGACTCTACACAGTCCCTGTGGAGAATATTTATGATAGCTTCTCTCCTGCCATCTGTGCAAAGGTGAAGACAGAATATCACCTGGACCATTTGTTTGAAACAATCTTCTGGGTGTTTTGAGGAGCCAAAGCAATGAACAGCTCCTAGGCTGAGGCCAAATATCTAGACCTTGATGGGTAAAGGGATGGAGAACCTGCAGAAACAAGAATTAAATGTTAGAAGTAGACACGGATTTTTTGGTGTCATTGTTGCTACTTATTTAATACTTGAACCTCATGTCTGCAAAAGACAGTAAGGTTAACAGCTCCATGTACTCTGCAAGCAGGAGGAATTCTCTTCCCAGTGCCAACATTTGCACATTGTGTTCTAGACTGATTATTCCCTCCAAATGTTGCCATTTCTGTGTATTTATCCTTATGTCGGGAATGCTAAAGGAGCTCTTTAAATATTTATCAACTTGTTTGAATTAGTGAAAGCTGCAGTGACTTAAGCATCTGTAACACCTCAGTTCTAAGGCAGTTCTCATATAGCACAAATACAGTCTGGTATTTGTTTGAATCTTCTCCCTTTTAGATTGACACTACAGACCAAAAAGAGCACCTCAGTTTGTAAAGCACTTTAGATTAAATTACACTTCATGATTTATCCTTAATAAGCACATGTATGTCCTCTCCCCTGTGAAAATGTGAGCTGCGTGCTGGGGCTGTGTACTTTCTGACACTGTAATAATTAGTGCTGGGATGGGAGCTGGGGGAACTTGATGAGTTAGCAAACCTTCTTTATTTTACCCCTATCAAAGCTGTCAAGAACAGAGTTTCAAAGGGTCTTTTTAATTGTTCCCATATATATGCAAGCACATCTGGTTTTGGTGTTCACAACACTCTACTGGCATTCAGCCTTTTGAAATTCTGGCTGCTAAAATCAATAGAAATCTTGTGGACTCAGGAAAACAAAGGAGAAGACAAGAAAACAAACATACACTTCCTTTGCAATTACATTGCAGTGTCTGGAAGGTCTGCTTGGACCATCCTGTGAAAAGCCACTGGCAGGTGGCAGACAGATGGACAACAGGACACATCCCAGACATAGCTGAGTAGGAAGTGTCCCCCAAGTCCTCCTCAGCTGTACTGGTACTTGGTGCTGTGGGGATGTGCTCAATGACATTCCATCTTCCTGTGAGATCTAGTGGGGACAGGTTGGTAGGGCTCTGCAGGTGGAGCTGTGGTGAGTTTGTTGTCCATGGAGAGGTCAGAGTTGTGGTTCCAGTGGGCTTAGGGAGTGTCCTTCTTTAAGCCCAAACCAGTTAGAGCTGTCCCTCTTGTATTCCTCAGGCATTTGGGGGTGACTTTTTTGGTACAGGTGAAGGAGATCTGTTACTGTTCGGTTCAAAGTGACTCTGAAAGCAGCAGAACAAGGAATAAAGAGATCAATGCCAAGAGTGAGATGGAAACTTCATAAATTTACTGACTCCACAGCCTTCATAAACTTCTTGTTTACTTCTGGCTGTTTCATGTTTATACCAAGAAAACCCTATGTGATTTCTCTCCGGTATGCTGGTCTTTTTTCATATGAGCTGACAGAACAGTTGAAGAAACTGTGTCTCTAGATTTTTCAAATTGCAAGTGGAGACCTGGAGGAATGAATTCTTCTGTTCTGTCTCTGCAATCCTCTGTTGCAATTGCTAAGTGTTCCATGTGTGTTTTCAGAGAACAATGAAGGGCTCCTACCTTCCTGAGGTGGGAACAATTAGCTAAGTGATGACACAGGAAGTTTAAAATGTGCAAAAAGGATTTAGTTTTGAAATACACTTCAAATGCTTTTTTGAAATCTTGAGCACCTTCAACTCCCTTTGAGTTCTAGAAGCAGGAGATGCTTTTGTGTGTGTTTCAGTGGTATAAATCAACCTTCAGAAATTCCTTGCACAGTTTTTGTGTCCTGACCCATACCTCCTTTATCATGTGGTTCAAGTACCATAGTGGCCTACCTGAGTACCCACGTGAACATGCAACTGCAACCAGTGTAAGAAATCCTGCACAATTTCCTGCCAGGCTATATCTGGGCTATAAAACTCAATTCGTGGGAAATTTAGGAGCATTGGCATATCAAACAGCAGCAGTAAAGAAAAATTTTCTCTATGTAAAACAGATGAGACAGACAGATGTTGCTGGGAGTTTGAGGCATGTTCATCTGTTGGGCACCCACAGGAGTGTTCCTCCCTGCCTCAGCCTGCAGCAGGGGCAACTCAGCTGTCTCTAGTTCTGCTGTCCCCCAGAAGGCTCCAGCATTCCTCCCAAAAGATGGTTAACTGCATTACTTATCCTATTGCTGCTTTTCTCTTGCAAAATGAAGGAATGGAAGCAAGTGGCTTTATGAGCGGATGGGTCTGTAGGGACATGGATGGCATGACTTAACAGCCCCTTCCATCTTCAGCTTCCATGGTTCTCTGAAAGTCAAATTGTTTTTACTGGGGAAAAGTTGCAGGGGAAGAACACTTCTTTGTGTGGATGTGTCATGCTTTATGTACATATGCCAGTTCATCTACTGCTACACGTCCAGCTGGCAGAACCAGTGACTGGGACATTTACCCTGACGTGCAAATAGCCATCCCTGAGCTCAGTGTGGCCATGGTTCTGCTGCTACAATTGGCTGCTCAGCTAAGTCTGTAACCAGCTGCCCTTGCAAACACGATGTGTGCTTTGCTGAATTTTGTTTTATCTTGCAGAAAACAAAGAATCTACAGGATTCCAGAGGAGCAAAGCCCAGGCACCATTGTTGCCAATCTAACAGCTAAAGATCCTGATGATGAAGACTCTGCCAGCAGACTTTTCTACAGCATCCAGTCTTCTGACAGATATTTCTCCATAAATCCCTGTAAGAGAAACAAAAATGTGCCTTCTGACATCTGAAAAAAAACCAAGAGTGGCTACTTTGAAGAAAATGTTTTTGCCTTAGTTTTAAATTGACTTACTTTATTCTGTGTCTCCCATGTCAACAAGGAGTGTTCAGTCCCTTATTAGGGTCAAATTCTTTAGTCAGCTGACCAAGGCTCAGTAAGATATCTTGAAGAAAGTAGACCAAAGGTGATTTCTTGACAAATATTGACTTGTGGCTGGAGGGTGATGGTCACTTGGGTGGAAATGAGATTAGCTGCCTTCTTTTTAATCTCCCAGGACTGCTGTGACCCATCTGGGGCTCTTGAAACAGCTGCATATAGTTAGACCATAATGTCCTCTCTCCTGTCTGAAATCCTCTCTAGCATTTAGATGCACAACAAATCTACACTTCAGGCCATCCCAAAGAGTCCTCTCTCTCATGATGGTCCTATCTCCTTCATGCTCTCTGGGGTGGATATACCTGTTCCCCAGAGGTTTTTGCTCCAGGGCTGGTATTCAGTGACTGCTTTGCTCCTTGTCTGCTATTGCTTTAGAACTGCTTATCACAGTTTTAAGAGCTGTGACACAGCACAGTGCTGGGAGGGATCAGAATGATCTTTAAATTCTTTGGATTTCCTATGCCTTTTGGCCATGTATTGCCACCCTCCTCCTCAATTACACTCCAAAAGGCAGAGGACATAGACACTTTTCTTTTACCTCCTTTGTGCTCTGGGAGTAGTATTGTGCTGTGCCATAAAAACCTTCTATTTTTGAACAGAGGCTAACAGAAATTAAAAAGAAGCCTTTAGTGTGTGGCTGACCAGGGCACTTGGCACAGTCTGCCACAGCTAAGAGCAGCTCTGTTGATGTGTGAGTAGATTTAGAGGTGCTGAAGGATGCTTGAATGATAACTGTAGAAAGTGAGGCGTCTTGCTACCTAGAGACCAAGGACAGCACAGACACAGCTGTTAGCAGCTCATTGTGCTTGATGCTCTGTGAATGCACTCAACTATGGCTTGCACTAGCAAGTTGAGACTAAGGGAAACCCAATAGCTTTCCAAACCCTCTGCTGAGGCCTCCTAAGGAGTATTTTTGAGAAATGGGTGTCCAGCCATTAGTCTTACCCAAAACATTCAGAACTATTTTGTATCACTTTGACAAGACACTAAACCAACCGTTACTTGTGGCCGAATAAAAGACTTTTTATTCTGCTGTCTGCTGAGCTACCCTGTCCTCTTGCATGTACACCATGGTGAACATCTAAATTCTGGCTGCTTTCTGCCCAGTGACTGGGGTGCTGCAGGTGACTAGGAGAATTGACCGAGATGCTCTTCCACTGCGGCTCCATCCCAACATCTCTCTGCTAGTCCGGGTGGAGGACAGTCCCAGCGGTGGTCACACCAGTGAGATGGAGATCACAATCATTATTGATGATATCAATGACAACCCACCAGAATGCAATCCTTCTGCCTTCAGGTATTGAGACTCTTCATTGCCTTGGTGCTGCCTTGCTGCCCCAGACCAATGTGCAGTGTAGGGAGATCAGTTGGAATCCCCAGACCTACAGCTAGAGGCAAATGGACATTTATCATTATATCTGCCCATTGTACAGGGCTGTTGTCCATCACAACATATGGATCAGATTCTGGGTTGCTTCATCAGTTGTTGCCTGTTTAGATCTAGGGTTTCACTTAGAAAATAAATGGAAACCAATGTTTTGGCATATAATATGTGAAGAGTTCAAAAGGAGAAGTGTAAGTTGCTCTGATGGGAAACGTGTTTGTTTTAAACAGGAGAGAAGCAAATGAAAATACCACTCCTGGGACATTTCTTCTTGATCTTAGAAATTACTGTAAGGATATTGATGTTGATCCATCAAACAACCAATTTAATTTCACTGGATTATCTGGTTTTGGAAGCAATAACTTCGCTCTGGAGTCTGCTGTGTCTGGAAGACTTGTGGTCAGTCATTTGTGACTTTATGTTGGATGATCCCATTTCAGAAGTCAACTTAGGAAATATTACAAGGTTTTTTAATTCATTGTCTGCACAAGAAAAAAAGAATCACTGTAATCTATTTCACAGTGGGTATGATGTGGAGAATGACTGTTTTAACTGGATGTGAGCTACATACCCTTCGATAGGTTGCTTTCTAGGGATTCTACAGAATCTGGTGAACAGAGCACTGTTTTCTCCAGTTTTAAATAAATGTGCTAGATATGATTGAAAAAATACCCTTTTTTAGGGAGTGTGAAACACCAACTTTGATATGGATAAACAGAGAAATTTGATGCCATTTCATACCCATTTATTCATGACAGACTGTGGAAGATCCTTGCTATTTAGCATGAAGAATTTGAATACTTGAGAAATCCCACACTCAGTAACTACTTCCCAGCTTCATTGGTCAGAATTGCAAAACCACTTTGAGTAGAAAATTTTCACAAAAGTGTGGTGGGATTTGCACTTGTGTGATTTCACATGTCAAAATATGGGTTCCTTATGCTGATAGCTGCTGGCAAACTTGCCTTGGCCAGAACCCCCACCAGCTCCTGGACATGTGCAATGGTGGTTGTTTTGTTGCTTTAAAAAGAACTGTGGGCAACTACAGAAAAAGGGAAACAACAAAAAACAGGCATTCTGTCTGAAAGACAAGAGTGAGACAAGGAGTAGTGAAATGATTTTGTGTGGCTTACTTTAATTTTAGACCTGAGGTGTCCTTGTCAGTAAGCACTGAGCTGCTTCATCTGCCAACACAAAAAGCATTTTCCTTGCTGCACAGGATATGATTGTTGTCAGCCCTTTGATAACCATGGATAATGAAATAGGCTCTCTGAAGTGACCTGTTCCTCCAGGAATTTCCCTGCAGATGGCGATCAACAGTTCTGCTGCCCCAAAGTTTATGAGGCTCCTACAGCAAGACAGAGAGTTCAGGAGATCAAGATTTAAACCTGTGTGAGCCACCATTTAGTAGCAACTTGGTTCCTGAATAAACACTTATGGCTGGACCTGATACCTTTAGTAAATGTCTCCAGGCATCAGCTCAGGGAGTAACTCTTACTGTTTAGCAATTGCAGATTGTTGTTGAGCCACCAAAGGGCAGAGTAAATAGCTCATTACATGTGCTTTGAATTGACTAGTTAAAAGGTCAAGACCTTATGGTCCAGATGATAAAACTTCCTGCACTTTAGGGGAAGAAGTTGCATTGGCAGAAGAAAAGAGCTTTGAGTTTCTGAGACTCACCAGAGCATGAACACGTAGAAAAAGCCTAGAACCCAATCCTGCAACTGATTCATAGCCTATATTATTCTCATAGAACAATTCTACGTGTCCAAGGGGGAGGCCACACTTACAGAAAGTTGAAAAAAGTAATTGCCATCATGTGCACTGTGACTTCATACAGTATAAATACCATTGTGTTTCTTTCGAATTTAGATGTCTGGAACTTTTGATTTAGAAAACCCAACTAATCCAGGAGTTGAAGTTTATACTCTGACTGTCAGGGTGCAAGATATTGCCCGTCCTAACTACTCAGGCAAGTATCCCTTTTACACTTCTTTTGATAGTTTTCTGTGCTGTAACAGCATGGAGAGAGGAATACCATATGTATTTTGAATATATGCATGAGAAAATTTCACAGCCATACTTAACTGTGATTTAATCTTCTGTTATATTTCCAGATATCATCTACATTTACATCAGGATAAAGCCAGTGAATGAATTTTTTCCAGTCTTCAGTAATTTATCTTACGTATTTAATGTTTCAGAAATTACTAAAGGTACAGTAAGTAGCACCTACATGGTAGAAATAATGTCATGTTGATAAGCACCTTTGTGCTCTAAATGGATTTCCATATATTTGAATGAAGTGAAGGGCTCAAAGTTCCAGTTCAACCAGGGTCTCACCACACAACCACCCACTACCCTTAAATAGACAAAACTGGCAACAACTCTGGTTGTACAGATGGAGGCTGAGACACAGACAAATTCAGCAATTGCACAAGAAATCTGTGACAGAGCCAGGAGCTGAACTCAGATGTCTTGTTTTAGACTGTCTTTCTGCTCTTGCTAAATCAGCCATTTGGAGGGACTGCAATGGTGCAAAGAAACCATTACAGACTGACAGAGACAAATGAGGACTCCCTTGGCCCAGCCATGGAGCACTTCTGTTGTGGTTGTCGTTGTGTTTTGGTATTTACTGCTAGCAGGCAAACCCATGCACAGGGGAGTCACAGCTCAGTGTAGTGAACTAGTGCTTCTCACACCATTGTGTTACTTTTTTGGGGTGAAAAACTCTAAACTAAACCTTTAGTTCAGTTTCATCAAGTCTTTGTTGGAACAAGTACTCTGTACATGCTGTTCCTTAATGAAATGTGGATTTTCTGCCTCTCAGTTGGATCCAGCATTGGAAGAGTGCATGCCACAGACAAGGACTGGCCAACCACTGCCATCACTTACTCCATTGTAGCTGGAGGAGGCACCAGGGATTACACAAATATCTTCTGGATCAGCCCAAACAAAGGACATGTGAGAGTTTTAACTGGATTAGACTATGAAACGACTCAGAAACACCTTTTCACAGTACAGGCCTCAGACCAACAGAAGACCACAACAGCATCTGTGAGTAAATCTACTCCTTCCCCTCTGTCTACATTTTTCTCTCTTCCTGGTAAGAACAGTAACACATTGGGCAAAGCACTCTGGTCTGTGAAAGGCAAGTCCACCCCTCCACAGAGTTATATATTACTCAGATGAAAGAGGTGGTGTTCACTCAGTCTTGGTTTATTTCTCACAAAAAGGATCAAAATTGTATTTCAATTTTTTAATTCTGTGGGGTTTATTTCTCAGTCTTTTTCTTATTTTACCTGGGCAGTGAAACTATTTTCTCTGTCCTAGGCAATTTCAGTTACTCCTTATGGCTACATATGTGCCAGAAAATAGAAAAAGGACAGAGTCTTGAGGCCAGGCAGCACAATCTAATTGTAGCCATGCTTAGTGACAAGCCCTTGTTGGAACCTGTGTGGTGTCCCTGGGCCCTCAAACATACTTTTGATTTTGTCTGTGAAATTCTTTCAGTGCAAAGTGAAGTCCAAAGTAATGTAAACATTGTTTTGCAGTCCAGCAGAGTTGTGAAGTCCAAAGTAATGTAAGCATTGTTTTGCAGTCCAGCAGAGTTGTGTTTTCATGGGGTGGGACAGAGAGGATGTGCTACATACCTTGGGGATGCGAGGAGGGCTGGGGCAGCCTCTTGGGTTAAGGTCCTTCCCAGTACAGCTGTGTCCACATGGACTACTGGGGTTGAACCTTACCTGTGCCTTCACCTGCCCATGATCTACTCTTTTCCCTGATGGTGCTATCTGACAGGAGCCAAGACCATGCCAGGGACCATGGTGACATTAAACAGCAGGGATGTGCTCAGGTTTGTTGCCCAGACCTATTTTATTCAGAAGAAAAAATACAGATGGTATATCCACAAAGGTATTTTATAGACATTTCTTTCGAAGAATCCCAATGTCCTTCACGTACAGACTCCTCCTCTTTTCACCTTTTCTCCCTCATGACTGCTTTATGTTTGATTTTTGCACATCTCCTGGGAGTGACACAAGTACTACCTCTGCTTTTTATTCCAGCCAAGCACCACCTACCAAGGTGCTAGGTGGGAAGTACTTAATCTCTTTATCATCTATAATACTTCACGGTGATGATTAATGAAAATTCAGCATCAGAAGCTTTCAATGGTGTCAAGTTTATCTGTTGCCTGACTAACAGACATGAGAGGAAAGAGCTTTGGGAAGGGTAACCTTTTTCTCTCAGCCAGCTAATCCCAGTTGACATTAAACATACCTGGTGCTACTTGGGGTGCTCCCAGCCATGCAGAAGGCCATTACCAGCATTTCTCTCCCACTGGGAACAGTCTATAAGCAGTCTTCCTTCCATGGATCATACTCTGAATGATTATTAAATATGCTAAGAAGCCTAACTAATGACCACAAAGCAATTCGAGAGGTTTGAAAGGGAATTTAATGAACACGAGGTCCTATTATTATTATTTCTCATTCTGACTGTGACACAAATCAGGTTATTCAAACAGTCAGACATACCAGCTTGAAAACCCTGCAGTTTTGGAAGATGGTTCAGGGTAAGGAACCAGTTCCCAGAAGAGTGCTGATCACAAGAAATATTGAAGGACAAATGATCACAGACATTTTCTGGCAGGAACTTGTTTGGAAGGAGAGTTCAGTGCTTTTCAACTGCTGCTGATCAAAAGAGCAAAACGGACAAAGCCAAACAGCTTCTGAAGTTAATAAAATTCTGGCTCAGCACAGTGGAGCAGCTTCAGCTTGTTATTGCTCTTTTCTTTCAGGTAACCGTGAATGTTTTGGACGTAAACGATGAAGAACCAGTTTGTTCACCCAATTTCTATTCATTTCAAATCCCAGTAAGCTTAGCTGTTGGGACCAATATTAATGGCTTCAGGATTGAGTGTCAAGATCGTGACTCTGATCCCAGGTCTTTCCGTTACTTCATTAATGAAGGTACTGTGGCACAGTGTGTGAGCTGGAACAGGGGGAAATAGTGAATGCTGATGGTTCATGTAGATTTGTAAACAGAAATCTAACACAGTTTATGTACTCGTGGTGAGCTAGTTGTGATCCACAAGTTCTGCACACCATTAGTTTGCTGATTACCAAAAGAGATGTCTCTCCACAGGCTGGATATTGGTCCCAGCACCTACAACCATTCCTTTGCAAGGCTGGATTGCCTACCTTGTTAATTAATTGGTAACTAATTACACAGTTGACAAGAATTTCAGAAGAATGGTCTGGAATGATATGCAGTGTCTAACTTCCCTTCCAGTTACAGCTGAGTAAATCTTGAGAAATGATGGAGAGTTCTCTTACTCTGCGTATCTCACCTCTAGATGCTGGTACACAGTTCAAAACAACTGCTCAAACCTGCATGTCCTTCAAGGTCACTTCAATCTGGAGCTCTATGGGGCAACAAGAGCAAAACCAAAGCACATTTGGTGCCTTTTCATGGCTCTGATGTATGGTCTGTCCAGAGCCTAACAGCTAGGGCTGGTCTACCTGCAGCCTGGGCCATGAATCATAGAATCATCAAGGTTGGAGGAGACCTCTAAGATCCCCTCTAAGTCCATCCATCAACCTGCCACTCTGCTGGAACCCCTAAACCCTAAACCATATCCTCCAGCACCAGATCCAGATGCCTCTTAAACACTTCCAGGGATGGTGATTCCACCATCTCCCTGGGCAACCTATTCCACTGCCTGAACACCCTAACAGTGTCCCCATAGAGGATCTTATTCTATATTGTAATGTTTTTATGACTGTATTGTTTAAAACTATTTTCTATGGTATCAGGAAGATCAAGGAGCCATTCTTGTTATTGACATTCCACCACAGCATCTGCTTGTTCCACACATTTACTTCAATGTGGGATTAAAGTCAATTTTTTGCCATGTTGGTGTTACTATTTTTGCAGGCAATGAGAACAATCATTTCACCTTTTCACCAAGTGCTGGTTCCAACATATCTCGACTGATTCTTGCATCAAAGTTTGACTATGAGAGTGGACTTGATACAAGTTGGATTTACAGTCTGCGTGTCTACATAACAGATGATAATTTGCTATCTGCCAGGGACAAAACTACACACTTAACGAAGACTGGAACAGTGACTTTAAGCATCAGAGTTATCCCAAACCCAACCACTGCCATTACCACAACGGTGAGTTCACTGAGATCTCTGTCCAGTTCTGCATTTCTTTTATGGACTAATCTCTATAGGAATGAAGAAAAGAGGGCAGATGTATGCAGAAGGAAAGCAAAAATCAAGAGTGTGTCCAGTTCTGCAAGTGCTCTTATGATGAAGCAAAAGGTGTTTGATGTGCTTAGTGTCATGAAGGATCGGCCCCAGGTACAGAGTCATAACATATGTTTTGAATTTCAGTTTCTAAAACAAAAAGGGCACACAGCCAAAGGACTGGGCATGCTGCCATTACCATGCAGTTGGAAAGTTAAAAATTCTGGCAGCTTTATTAATAAGGGAAGAGCAGGGATTAACCTTTGCCTGGAACCTTAAAATTACCTCATGCATTTTGCACTACTTCTTTTTTTATTCATAGCTATTCACTCCCCCAGCTGCCTTGCACTTCTGTGTGCTACTCATTAATCTGTGGCTGCCAAAGTTGAAGTAGACAACAACAACAACACAACAATAACAACACAACAAATCCTCAACTCTTGCTTTTGTGGAGCTGTGGGCCTGTGCCCCAGCAATACAGTTCACTCCTCTGCTCAGCCATCCCAGGCAAGCCCTGGCTTACCAGTTTGGTTTTGAAGCTGATTTGCATCAGGCTGGTGCAGGATGTGAGGACTGCTTGGTTTTGTCTTGCCTGCAGACATGGCACAGCCTGAGGGTATGGACCACTCTGTCCCCATCCTTGTCTTGGCTGTTGCCTTCATGCCTTGCTGCACCATTTCCCTTCACCCAGAGTCCATCCATTCCCTGCCTGCTTGCAGATGGCATTACCCTTTTCTCTCTTGCATGCAGGAATGAAAATATGAGTATCCTAGTGAAAGGGTGAAAGAGCTGAATCCGTTGTGAAATGGTCTGGATCTGCTAGAGCTACTGCTAACTGAGCCAGAACCAAAGTATCCTGCAAACAACACATTCAAGTCTGGATACTTTGCTATGAAAATGCTTAGATCCAAATTTTCAGGCTGATTAATAACCCTGTTATTATCTAATGCTCTGATGGGAAGGAATAAATGGTTTTCTCACTGCCTTCTCCCCCCCTTGCTTGATGTGGAAATGAAAAGTTAAGCTGAATAAACTTATTCTATATTTCTTTCCTGTGCTTTACCACAAATACAAAGTGTCTCAACCACATACCACAGCATTAAATCTGCCTCCCCAGGGATATCAGCCTCTAACTTTCAGTCTATTTTCCAGAAGAGCACTTCCATTACAGCAAGTTCTCCCATCACTACTCTTTACGTGTTCAGTGCAGCACTTGATGAATCAGATACTGGAAGGCTGGTAGTGTAGAAAAGAAGCCCCATCACAAAACATCACTTGTGACTCCAATCCCAGGGAGAATAATGTGCTGGTGATCTTGAGATTATTTGAGAGTTTCTCTCAAGATTGGATGTACCTTTTTCTGACAAGGCTAAACGGGTTATTTTAAAATAATCCTTAAACTGGAAAGAAGTAGATACCCCACTAAATTTAATACACAATCTGGTTACAAATATATATCAGAAAACTAAATGAAATCTTCAGTGGATGGTCAAAACCCCACTTCATACACAGTCTGGTTACAAATATATATCAGAAAATTAAATGAAATCTTCAGTGGATGGTCAAAACTAATAGTACTATACTAGGTAATGAATCAGGTAGAGCAAATGAGTAATTTCTGAAATGTGTGAGGATAGTTTCATGCCTGGACCTTAATGAATGAGTTGCTAGCACCAAGTGACATACCAGCTCAGAGATGTGTTCATACACAGTCTGGTTACAAATATATATCAGAAAATTAAATGAAATCTTCAGTGGATGGTCAAAACTAATAGTACTATACTAGGTAATGAATCAGGTAGAGCAAATGAGTAATTTCTGAAATGTGTGAGGATAGTTTCATGCCTGGACCTTAATGAATGAGTTGCTAGCACCAAGTGACATACCAGCTCAGAGATGTGTTTCCTGACACTTGGGAAGATGTGGGTGATTGCAACTGCTCAGGAAGTGTGGTTTTCCCTGCTGGAACAAGTCATAGGGAAAAAAAAAAAGAGGAGTTCCATTTCTTTTTCTACAATAACCCAGTTCCTCAGCGTTCAACTCCTCTCACAAAGCAAGCTGAATGATCACTGCCATGAAGATGACCTACTTCCAGTTTTGCCTTAGGTAACAAGGAACCATTATCTCAGTAATGGCAGTATTCCCTGAACTTGCTCACCCTCCAACAGTGCTCTCACAGCCTCTCAGGCAACCTGAGCCTTTTAAGCCCCATCATGACACACTTCTTGCAATATAAGATGTTGAAACTTGATCTGGAACCTCCTTTTTGCATCGTGGGTGGGCTCCATTCCACCTGCCTTTGGTTGCCCCAGGAGCTCTGTGCTCTGTGTCAGCCATCTGAGCTACCTTGGCAGTCAGCAGACAGGTATGTGGGATGAATCACTGTCTCCAGCAGACACTATCTCCCTCTGCCCATCACCTGCAGAGCCCTGGGGCAAGCTTGGGCCAGGTGCTTCAGTGCAGAAGTTCAACCACGATGAAAGGTGCTGGTGGTGTCAGCAACCTTACGAGTATGCAGCCTTGAGGAACTCTTCCTGTCTTGTTTTAAAAGCCTGGCTTCACTCTTGTGATGGAGAGGGAGAACCTCTACTCTGACTCGGCGTGGTACGTGCCGTTCGTCATCACCCTTGGTGGGTTGCTGCTCCTTGGACTGCTGGGCTACCTGGGGCTCCTGCTGCTGACGTGGATCCTCACCCACTGCCCTCCAGCCAGCAAAGCAGACAGCACACAGCTGTGAGTCCTCCCAACCTCAGCAGCACCTGGCAATGACAGAGGGCTCAGGCCTTCCAGCTGTAATGAAACCCAGGCTTTAAATATTTTATAGCAGTATGCCCTTCATTGTAGTAAATGCCATTAGCATCTACAGGGATATTTGGTGTTAATGATATGGAATCAAGTGAAAATGTCCATGGGGTATTTTTCTTGGGGGGGTTTAGTAACATTAGCATTAGCTGAAGGTAGCAGTTAAATTAGCAATTATAGAATCATAGAATTTTTAGGGGTTGGAATGAACCTTAGAAATCATCTAGTCCCAACCCCCCTGCCCTGGGCAGGGACACTTCCCACCAGAGCAGGTTGCTCAAGGCTCATCCAACCTGGCTTAGAGCACTGCCAGGGTTGGGGCATCTACTACCTCCCTGGGCAACCTGTGCCAGGGTCTCACCACCCTCACAGGAAAAGCTTTGTCCTAATATCTAGCCTAAATTTCCCCTCCTTCAATTTGAATCTGTTCCCCTTTGTCTTGTCACTGCAGTTCCTAATGCAGTTCCTTATGACCCCTAAAGGTACACTCAGAGCCTGTGCCAGACTGTGCTGACCAAAAATATAAATGCTTTTCATTCACCTTTGACCCCCACTCCAAGGGATCTCCCATCTAGGTAGTTCCTGGGTGCATCTTCCCCCCATGCAGCTACAGATCCCAAAGGCCTTTGCAAATCTTGGTGTTTATGCCAAATTCTTTTTCTGGCCGAACTTCTGCAGATCTCCTGGAGTTTTACCCAAGCCAGTTGCAAAGCTCTGGCCCATAAAGTTTCATGGTACCTCTAAATGCTTCGTGCTTGGCAAAAGCCACAGAAGCACCCAGGACCAGCTCTGGCTCACTGTGGGAAGCACAGAGATCCCTGCTGGTTGCCTTCTCAGCAGCCCTGAGCCAAGCTGCCTCTAAATTCACTTTTTACTTCACAAAGCAAAGACAAACAGTCCTTTAAGGGGCCTGGGATTAAAAAAGAAAAGGATTTCCATAAGTATTCTCAGGATTTGGACATAAATTTAGAGTTTGTAGTAAATGCAAAGTGGTAATATATGACTGTGTTTATAATTCAAATGGTGTTTGCAAGGCATTTAGCAGCTTGTGCTAAAACAGACAAATGAATCTGAGCTATTGTTATTATTTATTAATCGGGCAAATGATTCATTGGGGGCCAGGCTCTCCCATTAAGACACAATTTCTCTGTTTTCAAAAACATTTACAACCTTTCAAATATTTTAAAAGGCATTATCTGAGCAGATCAGATCAAAACCATTGACCTTCTTCCAAGGACGGAACAAGATGACAATATCTGAAATATGTTTTTCCAGATTATATAACTCCATCATGCTATCACCAATAAGACTTCATTGTTTTTATATCATCCCTCCTTGAAGAGGTGCTAGAGCAATGCTCAGGGCTGTTTTCCTGTTTGAGAGCAGCATTAAATGGTGCAGGCCTTCAGTGAAAGCAAAACCAGAAACCAAACAAATCAGGCAAATCCCAGGGAAACACATCCTTCTTGCCAAATGAAAGAGAACAGAGCATGACATTTTTATGTAGGCAGAAGTATGACATTTGTTAACTATACTCTTAATTATTTTCTATTACAGGAAGAATGCTCCAGGTGTGTATCTTTTTTCTGTATTCTAATGCTTCACAACAAGACTTTGCTTATGATTCAGTGTAAGCCACATAAACTAATTTCTAGACAAATGAATTTGACCCAGTACAAGGGTACTGAGATTAGATAACCCTGGCCAGTTATGGGAGCCCTGGCTAAGTGATTTCACGGCCCTTTTGGTCTTCAAATCTATTAACTATTAGGTGAAGCCCAAATTCAGAGTTGCTTGGTATTCTGGCATGGATGATACAGCATTACTGCATTTTCCACAAGCAATTCATGTGCCATCTGTTAAAAAATAATCCCATCCATATACAGCACCTTCAGGAATCCTCTCCACTCCAATTCCCTGTTCTCTGATCCTTTCATTTGCTCCCTTCACACCATTACTTCATGTACCTGAGGATTTCTTTTAACGTATTGGTGCTTTTAAAGGGGTTTGTGTAACTTAGGAGGGGCATAAGTTGCACATGAAAGAAATATGCTTTTTTAAGCAGTCTTGTTCCTTTCAGTCCCATGAGCTTTCTGCTAGCAAGCATTGCTCATATGGGCCCAGTAGGACCCTGGTTTTGTAACTCACTCTCCTCAATCTGTACCTCCCACCTTGAAAAAACACAGGACTAACAAACCCCACGAAACTAGCTGCTCTCTTGGTTGCCCAATTTGAGACATTTCAGCATTGGCTGGTTTCCAAAATAAATGAATGTTTGGTGCTTTCTGAAAAATTCCTGCCCAATGCTGAGCAGCAAAGGCCAGAGAAGAGGTCTCCCCTCAGTGCTCAGGGTCTGCAGCACACCCTGCCACTGCTGGTGGCCTGGCATACCATTCTCCAAAGAAAGGCCATTGGCAAGGAGTGAGCAAGAAGAAATCATAGCAGCTAGTTGGGTGTCACCCACAAATCTGTGCTGTCAAGGTGCCCATGGCGTTGCTTCTGGTTTTGTTTGCATGTGGGATGAGTTAATAGTGTGGCAAATTCACACCCCCCAATCTGAATTTCACTTGATTGGAACTGCAGCACTTCCCTGTTTTGTCTCCAAGCAGATGTTTGAGTGCACAACCTTAGCAACTACAAACATCCACAGCAAATAAAAACTACATTTCTAGTTCAGATATCCCCAAAGGTGAATTTCTGTATCTGTTCATATTATTTAGAAAGGGAAATTTGCTTGATAAACCATTGGTATTTATTCATTTCTGAAGGAATACAACTTTTCAAGGATAAACTTTTGATTAGTCAGTGGCAAGTGTGGATTGTCTAAAATACTATGAAAATGTTTGCTTTTCAAACAGTATAAGGGATGAGCATCTGAAAAGAAATAAGGCACATTTGAGAGGTCTCAGAAGTTGGGTAGCAAGAATGTCTATTTGCTTGAGGAAATCTTGGCTTTCATGTCTATGGACACTGTCAGAAAAGTCTGACTCTTTACAATGTGTGTTTTCCATTCTGTAGGAAAGAAGAAACCTAAGAAAGAAGTGATTGTGGTAAGTGCTGTCAGGCTCAAAACAGCCCAGTATTGCCAGCCTTTGGCTTCCAGGAGCCAAAATGCCATACTTGGGAGGCCAGACAGGCTGTGCCCACAGCAATGACAAGGAGACTTGCTGCAGCCACACAGGCAGGATGGCAAGTGCCCCTGACCCACCCGAGTGCAACCAGTAAGGCACCCCAGCTGTAAAGAGTTTTGTCTTGATAAGCAGCAGTAAAATGCCATAGTTGTTTCCACTGTTGTAGGTTTTTCTTTGCTCCTAAATCTCTGGGCTCCTTCCTTTTCATAGACATAATGGCATAAAGGCTGTAAGGCTCTCAGGTATATGGTGAGATTCTTGGACTGGCCCTGTGCAGGGCCAGGAGTTGGGCTTTGATGACCCTTGTGGGTCCCTACCAACTCAGGATACTCTATTATTCTGTGCAAGGCACTTCCCTTAGTGAACTCCCTCTCCCCAGGTTCTTCAGTGAGGGAATTCCCAAGCCTCCTCTGGGCAGAGGTGACCCTCTTGTGGTCACACACGTGGAGGCATTTTCCATGTCAGACCTTATTAATTCTTCTTTGAACATCCAGTGGCAACACCCTACACCACAAATGGCTCTTGTTGCCAGTTTAGATTAAACCCAGCCTAAAGGAATGCAGTATACAGGTTATAGAAATCCACCTCCATCCATGTAGGTCACGGTTTCCAAGTCACTACTCCTCCTTCTTATTTAACTAATTCACAGATTCATTTAACATTTTGTGTCTCTTCACAGACAATGACAAAGCTAAACACTGTCTTTGATGGAGAAGCCAGAGACCCAGGTAATAAAAATCAATTAACAGTGGATATGAATATTTGGCAGGAAACAAACTGGATTAGTTGATTTAGATGTGGTTTGACATTGGCTTTTAGCATTTCAGTCTTCCTGTAACCAAGGAGAATGGGAGCTATATCTCATAGATAGTGAAAATCAAGACAGTTCCCCAATAACATTTCTAATGGTAGAATATACTTTTGGCCCTGATAGCTGATGGCCAGATTATTCACTACTCCTCTGCTAAACTTGAGTGGATGGATGTGGTATAGGAAGGTGGGAGGAGGAATTTGGTGCATGCCTCCTGCTCTGGTGCTGTCATGGCTCTATGGTTTCACCCATCCCATGTCTGGGAAATGGCCAGGAGATTAATGTAGCTGCAGAAGTACTGACTATCACCTCTTTTAAACCTCTCCGTGGCTGGATGAGTTATTTGCTTCTGCACAAACCTCCTCCCTTGCAGCAACAGTGCATTGCTGCTGTTTATTTAAAGCTTGAGTATTACTCTTTGGTGAGGAAAGGGAAGACCATTTGTGCCTTCAGTTGTGGTGGCTACTGACTGTCAGCACTGCTAACTCTGAGCACATCTGATTAGCCAGCTCAGAAAAGCTAAAAAGCCCAGGATGACCCAGGAGGTGTGTGCTTATCCCCTTCCCCAAGGCACTGTGCTTTGCAGCAGGGCTCATGAAAGAAAAGGTGAGGGTTTTTTTCCTGAAGGTTGCTCTGATTTACCTCATTCCCCTGAGACACAGCCCCTGCCTGAGCCCTGCACTGTGATGCTTGGCCTGGAGTTAGGGTGCCCAGCCCTGTGTCTAATGGCTGAGGACCCCAGCGTGGAGAGAGGGGGCTGGTAAAATCTGACAGTCAGTCAAAATAGGTCTTTAAAAAATAGACCTGAAAATAGGTCTGAAACAATAGGTCTAGAAGTTATCCAGAAGAAGGCAGGCTTGTTTCAAGGCTTGGATTCATCTGGCCAATCTCCACCCAAGTGCCTTTACCTTGTGTTTCTTATTAGCTGGCTCAGAGCTGTTGGATGCCTTGAGCTAATGGGAAACACTAGGCATGGAGACTTCAGTAGAATTTGGGCAAACAAATGGGACCCTATTGTGCAATTAAACCCATCCTAAAGGCTGCTCAAGGCCAGTTTGATGCAGGTCCAAGCCCACCTGCTATTTATAAAGAGATCTGGAGGGATGGGCTCCAAAGTGCCTGCTTTTTCCCTCTGTAACTGCATTTGTATTACATTAAACATGGGTAGTCTCTAGGCTGCTGCAAGAGCTGCTTCCCCGTGTTCTTGCATGACATCTGGTGGTTCCCTTTCTCAGCAAACCTATCCACACTGGACTGGAGGATATCTGAGCCCATCCAAACTGCACTCCAGAGCCATAGTATTTGTGTCATGCCTGACATTAAGCTGTAACACAGTTTCGTGGTGTCAGCAGGGAGATGTGTGCTCCCTACTCCTCCCCTCTCTTCTCCACGGCTCATCCCAAACCCTAGAGGATGAAGTGTTGCTGGTTTGGAAATGAGATTTAATAATTCCCAGGACATCATCTGTTGAATATGATTAAGAGGATTGGTCAGAAGCTGCTTCCTGATCTGGGGCTGCTTTAACATGCCTGCCTTGCAGGCAGTCAGGAAAAAATAACACATAAAGAGATCCAGTTTCATCTTTAATTGATCAATTTGTGTTAATGCATCAGAAACCATTAATTCTGATACAAACTGTAACATGTAGCAACACTTCTCCACCATTTCTTTCCAGGCCTTACTGGTCTTTTGTTTGTTTCATACTGCTAATTAGAAAAGTGTCACTATAGCTCCTGATTCTCTGTTTGGTAAGAAACAGTAATTTAGGCTGTGAGGTGATCACACTGGGCACATGGCAATTTTTGGCCTTATCTCTAGGTAGTAAATGAATGGAAAGAGAAGATATTTGCCCTTAATGTACAAGTAGAAATTACCCATAAAATCTGAGGAGGGTCAGAAATCTAACAAGGAAAGGTAGCCATGTGTGCTAACCAACCCAAATTTAACAATATTTTATATGTATGAGGGTAGCATGTACTTGTGCAAACAGAAAACACACAGTACTTTGCTCTATTAATGATAAGGTGCACAGCAAACTTGGAGGAAAGCGATTTGTGCAAATGGAAAGGGAACATATGCAGCCAAAACTCATCAGAGATCCCAGATCTCTAAATCCTGTGTCAACCTAGATGAGCTGACATGGTCTGGAAGATGTATGAAGCATATTGTGCTGCCAACCTCTAGTAGGCAACTCTACTTGACGAAACAGGCACAGGCATATGCAATGGCATTGCTCAGTATGGCACAAGACAGAAATTTTGAGATAGTTAGTCCTTACAGCTAAAAAGTGTGGATGTTTGTTACACTTCCCATGTTAATCCATAGTAACTGTGACTTGAATACAGGTATAGAATGATAAGAAGGTGGGTTTTTTGGAATGGGAATGTTTTGAATATTCCTGTTCCCCAAACTTCATCTCCCCTGAGTGGCCACCATGCCATCCAGGTCCCCACTCTGTCCAGCAGAAATGAGGCTTTCCCTCTCAGGGCCACCTCCCCAGCAAAGCTGATTTTCCAAGTGCTTTCATGATTCTTGTTTCAACCCCATGCTGAGAACTGTCATGTCTTAATCTGCTAAAGCAGCAATGTTTTTAATCAGCTTTCTTTTCTCCTTGCAAGTTACTGGCAGAATGTATGAATTCAACACACGGTCAGGGGCTCGGAGGTGGAAGAAGAGCAATGAGCCCCTTCAGCTGACACAGGCTGCACAGGTAACATCCAGTGCCATAAACAAGAGTGGCCAAGGAACAGACAGAGAAGAGGCACCAAGCAAAGTAGAACCTTCAAAGAAGAGGGAAAAGCTGACTGCAGCAACAAAACCAGCTGCCAAGCCCTCAGCAGGGCAATCAGAAACACCAGGCCAGGATGGGCTGAGATTACAAAAGAAGAAAGAGGAGTCTGAGGACAGGGGATTGTCCTCACCAGCCCCCCAAGGCAGGAACTGACCTCCTCCCCCAAATGAACCCTTCATTGCCATTAAGCCAGAGTGCATGAGACATTCAAGCTGCCTCTCAAAAAACTCCTGATCTGAACAGCCAAAGAATCAGATGTGATTTTTCTCTATATATTTCTCAGATGCAAAACATAAGGTGGCCATTGGTGCCTAAACTGGACCCAAAGGCAGGATGAAGCTGGATATACCTTTAGTAGGTGCAGGTAAGAGTGGGAGAGAAGGGGAAGATATGAAAGGAGAAGAAGAGGAAACAGAAGCAGAGTCACAGACAGAAGCATTCACTGCCCAATGTCCCCTACAGACACTGGCAGTTTCCTCCTGGAAGAGCTCTGCACCCCCAACAGACACAGCCACATCCTCTGCCTGCCTTTGGGAAGGGCATACACAGGGATGTGCTTTCTCACCACTGAAAGGAGTCTCCTGTCTTTACTGAGCAGCAGAATGGGTGAAAAGCACAACAGGGTAGAAACATTTGCTGGTAAAAGCTAAAAATATTTTCTTTTCATTCAGTATTTTATTTCAGCCCTTCCTTGCCCTCCCATCTTGCTGTAGAAAAGCCTATGGCTCGAAAGCAGTTCTGGAGTGGAGAAAAACCACAGCTTGTTATGGTATCTCAGGCTGTCATGTCAATGCTTTCAGCTTATTTATCTTCTGTAACACTACTATCACTAGCAGCATTCAATATCTTCACCTTTGGTATTTTCTCTGGCGTATTTAATGTTTTACAGAATCAAGTGGAACACACTCAAAGAATAATGACAGTAAACACATGGGGTGAAATAATCTTTTCTGAGTGTGGGCATGTATAATGTAAGTGCTGTTTTAGAACTTGATATAAACCAAGCAAAGCCTACAAGATTTCAGAAAATTATCTTTATCTGAAGGAAAATAATTAAAAATAATGACTTGATACTCTATGTCTTGGCTTCTTTTCTTTCATGCTCGCGAAAAACTTTTTGGCAGCAAGGGACTGGTATCAGGTGGTGAAAGAAAAATCTCAGTTTAAGCTGAGCAGGGACAGTCAATGAAGATTCTATTCAGTCTGTCACACACACTGGTTTTTGTCATACAACAAAAGACCTGGTTGGAGAGGTCCAGGGTAATTTATGCTCTACAAAACCACTCGTCATGGTGCTGTGACTCTTTGCTCTGCTCCAAAGGAGTGGTTTGGCTGAGGAATGACTTCCCTAACAAACACCAATCATCTTCAGTCAAATGCCATTTCATTGCACAATCAGAAACCTAGAGTGTAATCAACACCACAATGAGAGAGATAGGAAAGTGTGATTTATTCTCCCTGAGCATGCTATCAGTTTACTGTGTCTGTGGCAGTTGTCATAGTGTTGTTTGACTCTCCAGCACCAACAGGGACAGCCACACACTCAGTGCTCCAACACACTATTGTTTGCACTTGTTTGCTGTAAATGTGATACATTTGAGTTCTATGCAGGTGATTTTCCAGTCACAAAGAGAAATTCTGCAGTAACTGGTAGTACTGCTATAACTCTGGTCTTCCTAGCACTCTGATCCCAACCTACCCATAGGCATACCTGGCACCTACAAACGTTACATTTTGTTGACTGAAGAAGTTAAATGCATTGTTTTCATGACAGGAAGACACACAAACCTTTGTATTTACTTTCCTGGGCATTTCTCTAGGGCAGCTGCTCTGCTTCCTCAATTACTCTCATTCTACTTTAGTGACTAAGAGACAATTACCTTATTTTTTTAAGAGGAGGCAGAGACAGGCTGTAGTTTCAGCCAGGAAACCTGGAAAGAGGTGGATGAATATTTGTTTTTCTTTACTACTGTTCCTGCTGCTGAACTGCATGAACTTCCTTCCTTCCTTCTCAGAAAAAAGCTAAAACCCAACAGCAATGTACCACTGTATCACAGCATGTTCTGAACACCCATACATGCAAACACGTTGTCATGGCCAACACTGCTGCTGTAGTCTCCCACAGCTGGCCAACAGCTGGGTGAAAAGCAGCTGCTCTTCTAGTGATGCTCATGTACTCTAACCTCAGAATAACTGGCAGTCCTACAAAGAGGCACCATGGATCTAAGGGATGCCAGATTCTAGTGCTAACACTGCCCAGGATGCCTGCAACCAGTTGTGGTGGGTTTTGCTGGTGTACTCAGCATTCAGGGGGGCAGGATCAGGCAAGATAAAGCATCCTCTGAGTCCCTTGCAACCTGCTGCATGGGCAGACAAGTGTGCTGACCAGGAAGCACAGCTTTGTTTTTCCTTACACTGTTATTTCAAGATGTGCAATGCTGGTCTCCAGCTTCAACTGATCTTCACTGTAAGACCTTATTTTGAACATGTACAGGACTACTTTTCTTGCTATAAAATCAAGGGAAAACAAGGCTTTATATAAGCATTAACTTTCTGCAAAAGTGACACAGTTGCCTATCAGCTGCCCCTACTGCTACTGATGTTCCTCCCTGTGAAGGAATCAAAACTGAATCCAGGTCTCATTGAGCCCAAGTACAGACATTCATTTCTCTGGCCTGTTATTGGTAGGGCAAAAGCAGAGAAGACAGAGCTCACTGACCTAGGTGTACACTTGTTGCTTACTGTACTGAGCAGTATGTGAAAAGATACTTTGAATACATGTAAAAGCAGCATATATTTTTCATATAAGAGAGATGATGATATGCTGTGCAGTGCAGCCTTAAATGCTAGAAACCTCTTCTAATTGTCAAAGCAGCTTTTGGGGATTTTTTTCATTTTGAAGTGTCTTTGAGAACACAGAGTCAGTGTCGAGAACTGCCACTAGATGGACTGGGAGCAAAGATTAAGTGCAGCTCTACACAATAAAAGCATTTGATTATTGTAACAATTAGCTAAGACTGTGAGGCCTTTCCATAATTCGAAGACTTCAGATGTGAAGAACAGCTGCTGTGTGCTCTAGAGGGTCAGACTAGATGATGGGAACAGCTTCTCTAGTCTTCAACAGCTCTTTTATTCTCTGTGCATGTAGATACAAGGTGTGAACTTTGGTGCCATTTATTTTAGTGTGATGACACTGATAAGATGAGACTAGAAGAGGAAGAAAGGCAGAGGAGCTGGGGGCAGCAGTTCTTGACCAACAGCTGCCTATTACATATTATGCATTAATTTGATCCGTGTGAGTTCTGCCACAGCTTTTGATTGCTGTGTCTCCACCTATCACACATCTCTGAAGTGCTTCAAGACCTGTAGATTAATACTGCTCTGAAAGTTTCAAGAGTGATTAGGAAACAGCACAAGTCACTTTTCCTGTCTGGGTCTAACTCCCCCCAGCAGTGTATGTATGACCATGTTACTGGGGGTTTTGTGTTTTAATGTACTTTTAGTGCATAAATTCTCTGCTTTCATGCTGGTGTTATATATATATATAACATTTGAAATAAACATCAGAAGTGTCAGCTTCTGGCAACATAATGTCATTTATATCAAGGAATGTAAAAGTGCTGATACTGTATTTGTGCATGGTCTCTAAGAGACCTACACAGGAGAACAACTTCAGCTGCAGAGGTGGAGAATGTCTGCCCAGGAGGCTGCCACGTCGTGACTGCTCACTAGGAGCAGGAAAAGGTGCTTGGATCCCCTCAGAGAAGGAGGGTCAGACTAGGGAAGCAATTCTCCTCCTGCTGAGCAAAGAAGCTGGCTGCTAGGTTATTTTATTAGACCTGGATTGCAACACCATAATGGAAACAACAGTTCAACAACTGCACGTTGCACATACCCCAGGTGATCAGTTGTCTGACACCCCCAGTCACAACAGGCCCTTTGCAAAGCTCCAGCTGAAAGGCTGAACTCAGGCTTGGCACCCACTGGGCTCCATCCACACATGCCTTGTCTGAGCTAGTTGCTGCAGGCTCCACGTGTTGTCACTGGGCAGAAGGAGACACTTTGAGGGTGACTTATTGAAAAGCAGATGTCTATCTAGAATAGATCAGATGAACTGCTGCCCTAAAAGCAGCTCTTCCTGGATGACTAGATCAGATAGCAATGCCTACACAGCACACTCAAAGGTAAATCAGCTGAGTCTCAGCCCAAGTTGCTCAGGAGAGGACAGATCTGTGCCCCTGCACCAGTGCCTGGGGAAGCTGAGCATGGCAATCACCCAGCTCTGCTGCTGTCTGCTCAGATCCCAAGAGGAGATGGGGCACCACTCATGCTTTGCTAGGGCTCCAAGGTCTACAGGACACTTTCTGGGACCTGACTTGAGGTCATTTTGCACCTGCAAGCATGTTATGAGATGTGCTTCAAAGCAGACCAGTAGAAAAGCATGGGCCTGTCCAGGAGACTGAAGAAGAGTCAAACACAAGCTTCAGCAAGCTCTGTGTTACTGAGTGAAAGACACACTTGAAAACAAAATAGATAAATAGATCTTACCCTGAATGGTATTCAGGGATGCCACTGCTCTGCAGCTCTCTGGTACCAAGCTCCAGCTATCACAGGTCAACAGATTCCTTGGGGCTTGATTTTGAGGCAAGGTCTTAACTTCCAAGGCTTGTACAAAAGCAGTTGGTGAACGACACAGGCAAGGTGTGGCTTGCTCTGGCCATGCAGTTGTGTCTCATTTCCAATTCCTTCCTGTGGATACCAGCTGGGGCTGTGCAGGCAAGAGCAGGAGTGCTAGGAGAAAGACAAGGAGCTACTGGAGAGGGTCCAGCAGAGAGCAACAAGGATGATTAGAGTTCTGGAGCACCTCTCTTATAAGGAAAGACTGTGGGAACTGAGTCTGTTTAGTTTAGACAAGACAAAGTGGACTTCATCAATACAGACAAATATCTCCAAGGCAGGTGTCAAGAGCATGGTGCCAGGCACTTTTCAGTGGTGCACAGCAACAGGACAAGGAGAAATGGCCATAACCTAAAACACAAGAAGTTCCACCTCAACAAGAGGAAGACCTTTACCTCGAGGGTGGCAGAGCACTGGAACAGTCTGCCCAGGGAGGTTGTGGCTTCTCCCTCTCTGGAGACATTCAAACCCCACCT